TCTGCAACTGACTTCACGCAATGATAGCCAGCAACCTCATCAAATATGTCAAGAAATAGATGATTTTCCCTTGAAACTTGTCAGGGGTTGCTGACCAGTCTCTAGGCCTGTGTGACTGTAGCCTTAAAGAGAAAGTTAGGGACAGAAGATAAACTGAGGGTTGCATGAGGCACCTCTGTGAAATATTAAGTATATCTGAACTGTGAGCCGTCCATAGCTACTCTAATACAGTGCCCCAATAAAATCATAGAGCTGGAAACAAGCATAGTAGGTCCTCTTTAACAATGTATGTGGAAAGTGTGTTAGAAACCAGAAGCACTTAGATTGATTTACATATTGGAAATCTGTAATGTAAAAATCAATATCTTTGCTTGTAAAGCTAACCATCAGCATCGGTCGCCTCCCTAGAGTTCAGAGGCTCTGCCTCATTAAGATCGACCCAGTATGGAAATGGATCAGACTAAAATAGCTTCCTTTGGGGAGCTTACCCATGCTGATGACCTCTAAACAGTCACATACTACAGTAAAATGATCCTTCCTCTTTTGGATCCTGAAAATATTGAACATCTTTCAGACTGCTTTGAGAAATGTTTTGTGTCACAGGAAATGCAGTATACGTGTAGAAATTTCAGAAAAATATCAGTCTTGTGCTTTATATTAAAAGAATAATATTAAGTTTGAGGATTTACTTCCTGGAAGGTTAGTGAGACGAGTGGTACCATTTTTAATAAAGCAGCTAGTTAGCTTAATTTAGCTAATCTTATAAAACTAAAAGTTGTTTTTATTCTTTAAATATTTAACAATCTTACATTGTTAATGTAATTACAGTTGGGATGCTGTGTAAAATGTGAATATAGACAGAATACAATGATTTGTAAATCTCACATTGATATTTTATTCACAGTACAACAGAGAAAACATACAAAGTTTAAACTGAGAAATGTTTGAGAAAAATATTAGCTTAAATTGAATTTGATGGTAGCAACATGACACAGGGCAGTGTTTACTGCTGTGCAGCATACCCTCTGCTTTAGCAGTCTATAAATATCTGTGAACTGAGGAGACTAACTGTTAGACTTTTGGGAGAGTCCATTTACTTCTGAGAAACTCATTTCTCAGTTCATTTTCTCAGTTTAAACATATTTTTCCTATGTAAAGAAAATAGGAGTTTATGAGATTTGTAAGTCATCATATGTTTTTATTTACATTTTATGTTGTGTCCTAACTGTTTTGCTCATAAAGGAAAGGGCCTTTAGTCTTTAAAGCTGCTGGTTGGTGGATTTTGTTTCTTTTGAACTCAGCCAGGCTAGCATTTTATTCCTTTTTACCCATTTTATCTGTTAGCTGTAAGCTAGCTTGATGTTTTCCAGTAAGACTAAAAATAAAGCTGAGTAAAAAGCCATGCTTTGTGAAAAGCTACAAAAGGTATTTTGAAAATCCACCAGCACCCTTAAAGCTCTTTTTTTTAAA